TCGTTGATTCAGATGGTTAGGTTAATAGCTTGTTTAGAGAACCTTTTCATGATATGCTAATTTTTTGGGACAGGCATTTTGGGTTTTCATGAGCTGTATGCCATAATCATCAGTATTAAAACAATTAAAGACCTGAAATATTTCAGTTGGTGTGCAATGAATCTGAAATATATGAAAGTTTCATTTTTATCATTACATTATGGAAAATAATGACCTTTATCACAATATGCTAATTTTTTGAGAAGGACCTGTATATTCACCCCCATTGTATATTACATTATGTGGAGGTTGTGTTTTACAGCTACATATTAAACAAAAAGTTTCTGTGCTCAGTAATTCATCTCACCTATTGGACCGTCCTATTTCGTCTTTCTGCTTCGCTATGGTCTCCATCAGACTAAGGAACTGAGGAAAGGACGGAAACAACATGGTTAATTTATAACATTTCTCTTTTGGTATTTGTTCTCAATTTGTTTTAATTTATTAATTTATTATAGAGGCGTGGGCCTGAAGGCAGCCTAATGTACATGTTTTTGAACTGTGGGAGGAAACCGGAGAAAACCCACACAAACATGAGAATATGTTAACTCCACACTGAAAGACCCAAGATCCAGACCAGGGATTGAACCCAGGACCTACTTGCTGTGAGGCAACAGTTTCAATTCATTTCAATTCAGTTTATTTATATAGCGCCAAATCACAACAAAGTTGTCTCAGGGCACTTTACAGGAACATTCACATAAAAGCCAGTTAGTAAAGTTCTCTATCTAAGGAATCCAGCAGACAAGTTGAATCTTGGCTTCGTTGCAGTCTCCCATCCTGAGCAAGCACAGTGGAGACAGTGGAAAGGAAAAACTCCCTTTTAACAGGAAGAAACCTCCAACAGAACCAGGATCAGGACAAGAGACCATCTGCTTTGACCGGCTGGTTGAGAGGACAGGAAGGAGAGACAGACGAACATAGAATGGTAGGTCCAGGTATAGGTGCAGGTCCAGATAGAGGTCCAGGTGTATCTGAAAGACAAAAAAAACCACGTTAAGGATAGAAAAAATAATAACTAATAAAAAAACAGGCTGAGCAGAGTAAGTAAAGACAGCAGCAGAGTGAAAAGTATAGTCAGTTTGTCCCCCAGCAGTCTAAGCCTATAGCAGCATAACTAAGGGACAGCCGACCCTAACTATAGGATTTAGCAAAAAGGAAAGTCTTAAGTCTAGTTTTAAAACTGGATAATGTGTCAGCCTCAAGGACAGAGATTGGAAGTTGATTCCACAAGAGAGGAGCCTGATAACTGAAAGATCTGCCTCCCATTCTGTTTTTGTAAATTCTAGGAACCACAAGTAAACCTGCAGCCTGACAGCGAAGTGCTCTGTTAGGAAAATATGGAACAATAAGATCTGTAATATAAGATGGAGCTAGGTTGTTGAGAGCTTTGTAGGTTAGAAGTAAGATTTTGAATTCTATTCTGGATTTGACAGGGAGCCAATGGAGAGAAGCTAAAACTGGAGAGAGATGATCTCTCCCAGTAACTCCAGTTAAGGCTCTGGCAGCAGCATTTTGGATCAACTGAAGACGTTTTAAAGAAGTATTTGGACATCCAGATAATAAACCATTGCAATAGTCCAGTCTAGACGTGACAAATGCATGGACCAGTTTTTCTGCATCATCTTTAGATCAGATGTTTCTAATGTTAGTGATATTACGCAGGTGGAAGAAGGAGGTTCTAGTAACGTTTTTAATGTGGGGGATAAAAGACATGTCCTGATCAAAAATAACACCAAGATTTTTAACATTAGAGCTGGAGGACAGATTAATGCATCTAAGGAGGGAGAAAGACTGAAAAATTCATTCCTAAGGTGCTCAGGTCCAAAAACCAAAACCTCAGTCTTGTCTGTTCAACAGGAGAAAATTAAGGGTCATCCAGGTTTTTATGTCTTTAAGACATGCTTGTAGTCTAAGTAGCTGATTGCATTAATTGGGTTTAATGGACAAATATAATTGTGTGTCATCAGCATAACAATGAAAATTTATCCCATGCTGTTTAATAACTTTACCTAATGGAAGCATATATAAAGTAAAGAGTATTGGTCCAAGCACTGAGCCCTGAGGAACTCCATGACTAACTTTGGTGTATGAAGAAGATTTATTATTTACATTTACAAACTGGAATCTATCAGATAGATATGACAAACTATTTTGGAGCTGTTCCTGTAATCCCAACATCATATTCAAGCCTCTGTAGTAAAATATTGTGATCAACTGTATCAAATGCAGCACTGAGGTCTAACAGGACCAGTGTAGACACAAGTCCATTGTCTGAGGCCATGAGAATATCATTAGTGACTTTTACTAGTGCTGTTTCTGTGCTATGATGAGCTCTAAACCCTGACTGAAACTCCTCAAACAGATTATTTCTTTAGTGATAAACACTAAGCCATTGTGCTTCTTAATATACATTGTTTTCATTTATTCTAACCTGGATGAAATTAATTAGATCACATTTTACATTTTGTTATCCGTTAGAGTGGTTAGTTCACCCAGAAAAAAAAGAAGCACAGATGAGGTACAGACAACATTAAACAGTCATTTTAAACAGATTTTTTTCTCACTGGCTCTGTAACGAGGCGCACGCATTCTCTTCCCTCTGCCTGTTCTCCTCATGCTTTTTTGCTCTCTGTGTATCGGAGCAGCTCCTATTTTTACACATCTTACGAAATGAAAACTACTGTTTTGAATCTGACCAACTGGACTTTTGATGCAAATGACAAAATTTTCTCAACAAAACGACAGGGACCTGGAGAACCCTCATCTTCTCGGACAACACGCATGCAGCTGGACATATCTCTGGGGAGTGGAATGTGATGTGTCTACCTCTGCTGTCGATCGAGGACGCCAAAATTGCATATAATTGGATTTATGATAACAGATTTCCTGTTTTTGGAATAGTCTGGATCCTGGTTTATCAGTATACAAAGAAGACGGCCGCAGCTAATCTGGCCTGGTCAGGCTGCTGCCTATGTGAAGGTTTGGCTCGTGCTTTGAGGACTCAAAATCAGCTGATTTACGAGCTAAACCATAAGATGGAAGTGATTTGTATCTTAGGCCACCTGCAGCTTTGAGACTCATCAGCATGAAAACGACCTTGAAGAGGCTCTTAAGCACGGACCAGTAGAATGCACCTTAATCTGGCCATTTCTGACTTTGGAAGTACCAGTAAAGACTCAAGGTTGACAAAAAAAAAGTCTGCCTCAATAAATCAACAATTGTGGATTATCTGAATCTGACTCCCCGGCTGGCCTCGAAACAGACAGACTTATCATTTTCTCCTGGGAAATGTGTAAACTAAGGAAAAGCTTCGTCTATCGCACCCCTCCCCCCTTCTGTGGCATCTTATCAAAAATGAGCCAGCTGACCATCATCTTATCATCTTATCATTTTATCAGGACAATGGACTATCTGTTAGTGCTTCATGGACCGCCTCTTTGTCAATGCATATGTAACGTGTTCATAAATGTGCTGCTGGCAGAGTCTTTTGATGTCTTAAATTGTGTCCTGTTAGGACAAGGTGTGAAGAGATCTTTTTTGTAATGCCATTATCCTCTCCTCATGGCTTTGACCCTTTTTCTATCTAAAATATATTCTGAAAAGGATAAGAAGGCCGTGCTTTATACCAGCAGCTACGTGCACTCTGTCCATCTTTCGGACGGCTGTACGTACATGTTCTCGTTGTATCTCGGTGCAATGATAATAAAGATTATTCTGATTCTGATTCATAAAAAGCATATAAAATGAAAAGTAAATAAAAGTAGTGATATAAAACAAATTAAAAACAAGCTAAAGGGTAAAATACTAATGACACCAACACCCTTCTGACCTTACACAATTAGAATTAAAAGCCATTGGGAAAAAAAAGTAGGGACAATAGAAAAAAATGTGAACAAAAACAGAATGCAATAATTTTCAGAACACATAAACCCATATTTTATCCACAGTGAAATATAGTTTCATGCACTTTGCTGGGGCTAAAACAAGAGCACCATAAACATCAGAGAAAACACATTTTCTACAAGTTTCTCAAGATCCAAAAATAAAAGTGAATTTGGGGTTAACATGTTTGTATACCTCCCGAACATTGTGGTCTCAACATTGTAGGGTCTCATCCTTTACAAATGACACAGTTCTGTTAAAAGTCAAGCCACAACCTTCTGCGTGAACTGAGGCTGTTTGTAGCCGAGTGCAAAGTGGTCAGAATAAGAATCAGCTGCCAGTCTGACACCATAGGCAGACCTGGCTCCAGAAGAATTTAGCTGGGGGGGCTGAGGAATATTTTGGGGGCCCAGAAAATAGTCATTTTATTTTATATAAACGTTTATGTAACCTTGCAACTAAAAATAACCATATGTTGTTTATTATTACAAAACAAATAACTTTGTGACATATCATCATCATAAAATGCTGAGAAATTGTGCTCAAGTTTGCATAAACAATTTTCGCATAAATCTTATAAACTAGCATTAATCATTGTGTTTGAAACACATTAACACCAGAAACTTGAAGGCAACTGTACATGAACTGCTCCTGAAGAGAGGTGAAAATGTTTAAAAAATACTGAACAGTTTTAATATTTCCACTCTTTTGTTGAACAAACCTGACATGCAAATAAAAAAAAGTCCATTTTGTCATATTATCTTATCAAAGTGCCTTCTTCTCCTTCTTCTTGTGATATTATTAGCGGTTGGGAAAAAAGCAACATTTCTCCTAGATTTCCTTTAATTCCACACATTTAAAACATGTTTCTCACCAAGTTTGTGTAAATTCAACTGTGGGTTTTAAAGACATTTTAACTTTAATACACTTTAATACAGAGCGTCAGGTCGGCACTATTTATAGAGAAATAAAAAACATCACCACTAGACTTTTTTACTTGTGTTCAACACTACTCATCTAAATGATGTTTCTCATAAAGCTTGAGGACAATAAGGTGTGGGGGTTTAAAGATATTTCAACTTTAATGCACCTGAACACACAGAGTCTCTTACACCAGCAGCGTCTAACAGCCTCACACTTATTGCTAAGCTAAGATGCTACAGACGTAGCTCCTCTCAAGCATCCTCCTAACATGAATATATCTTTATGACCACCCCTCCCGGTCAACAACTACCCATATTAAGCCCGTGGGGGTGGGGGTGGGACATGTCCCCCTCACATATAATGGTTGTGACGCCTATGAGTCAATACATTACATAGGTTCAACTTATTTACACAGTTTTGTAATCTGTCTTGGGTGGGGTGGCCGGATACCTGAATGGGCAAGAAGGGGTTCTCTGCAGACCAAAAGTGGGCATTTCTAGAGGGCAAGCACCGATTGGCTAACTTCATATTTGTCTGCAGAGATACCTACTTGGGTC